ATTCTGTTTATTACGGGATCTGCGTATCCACATCAGGGGCGGACTGACCATTTGAAAACTCGGGCACTGCCCGAGGGCCCGGGGTCAGTAGGGGGCCCCATGAGATGCCCCTGGTACCTTTTTCATAGGCTTTTTTGAGTTTTGAGTTTGGGCAAGGACACAGGGGCCCCATGATCCCCTATTGATCCCCTATTGCCCGGGGCCCCATGAGTTGTCAGTCCGCCCCTGATCCACATTGTTCTATTTATGTGTAATCCTGCTGTAGCAGTAATGTCATTGTGGATTCTGGAAGTACTGTTCCATTTTCTCTATCATCTTGACAATAAAAGTTGTTTAAATTAAAAAAAAAATTAAAAAAAAAATAAACCAACAAATAGGAAACGAACAAGAGGCTTCCAACACGGAATTAAACAAATAAAAAGCAAATTCAACAGTACCTAATTTTTTCTCTAATGTATAGATACATAGGTAGAGAGGGTAAAAAAATCTTGTCAAAGTGATCTATTTAACTAGCTAACTAAAAATAATAAAAAGATACAAGCTTTCAAAGCTCTAAAGCTCCTTCTTCATGTATTACGACAGATAAAATGCTGAAAATGGCAAAACATAAAGATATACTTTCCATACATACAAATGGTAAACAGAAAAAATGTATAAAAACGATAGTAAAAGATGATATATATACAAACAACAAATGACAAGGCAATACCAGAAGAGGAGCTTCTTTGAAAGTTTTTTTATTATTATATTTATTTAGGCACTAAAAGGTATTATTTTGCTATTATTTTGCTTTCTCTACCTATGTGTTTATTCCTGCTTAATATGGTACTTCATCTTTCTGCAACAAAGAATAGAATATTTATTTCTGTGAAGCCATTTTTGTCAAATTTAAATTGTTTTATTGCGGTACGTTGGTGTGTTATAGCGCTACTCAGTCAGAATGTCACCCCAATGCACTCCCATGTGCTGTGTGCAAAAAAAAAAAAGTTTCGTTCAAATGCATGTTTAGTTATTATTGTGAGGCTTATTATATATTAATTTTTGGTGTAATATTCACATTTGCTATTTTATGCTTGCTATTCTTTATTTGTGCCATTGTGTTAAAGGATATCCATGGTCAAAATGTAAAATCATATTTTCATTTCCACATTGTACTTCTGGCCTCAGACTGACCATTTGGAAACTTGGGCACTGCCGAGGGCCCGGGGTCAGTAGGGGGCCCCATGAGATGCCCCTGGTACCTTTTTCATAGGCTTTTTTGAGTTTGGGCAAGGACACAGGGGCCTCGTGATCCCCTATTGCCCAGGGGCCCCATGAGTTGTCAGTCCACCCCTGCCTCATCCTATTAATCTGCATGATCTTGAAGTTTGTAAACTTACTTTGTAAGAGATCACAACATATTTCCTTCTGTGAATTCTGTGACCCGAAGTCACTATACCCTGTGAGTAGGCACTGCTGTGTCACACATTTCACAGAGCCCGCCTCCTGAGCTACAGAGGGGCTTGGGGGAGGAGTTTCAGAAGGCGGAGTCACTACAAGAGTCACTGCTTGCAGGTAGCAAAGTACCATGGGATATCTAGCCCTTAGAAATGGAAAGTAAACCGCAAAGGAGCTGCAAACTTCACAAGAATAGTGCTGCGCTGCCCCCTAGCAACCCAAGAAAACACACTAATAATAAATAAACACTCTCCTGAGCTTCAAACCCAATGCGTAATAGAATACGTCTGTGAAACAATGTCAATAGTAAATAAAAAAACAAAAACTGGCTGAGCCACTAAATCCAAATGATATGTGAAACATATATAAAATATAAACCAAAATCAAGAAGCAATAAACACCTGGCCAACCTATAATAAACACCGTGTGCTGAGCTGAAGAATAAAAAGTGTAAAAAAAAACAACAAAAAACAGTGAAATATGTGAAATATATATCAGAAATAAAACACAAACACAATGGCAGTAGACACCTGGCCGAGCTGTAATAAATACCCGGCTGACCTAAAGCATAAAAGTGTAAAAAATCAACAAAAACAGTATAAAATGATGTAAAACAAATGCCCAGCTGAGCAATCAGCCCCTCAGTGGAATAAATATTTGATGAATCAAGTAAATGTTCAACTGGGCTAGATGTTCACAAAAAGTGTATGTAAAAAAAAAAAAAATGATAAGCAGCTCTACTGAATATACAAAAACAGATAAATGGTGAATGATAGATAACACTTAATAAAGTGCAAAAAGCAGTCTACAAGTGATATAATAGTCTCTTTCTTCCAACATTGAAATTAATGCACCAATGACTTCAACAGGTGTGCAAATCTATCGTTCTCCTCCACCTTCAGGCATGCACACTCACCTTAACAGCTGACCCATAGAAAATATAGGTCAACATGCACTCAATATGAATCCCACAGGTCTCTCCAGACATTCTCAGGAACAATCCTTTACCTCCCTACTCCGATGGATAGGTGCTCAAAAGATAAGAAACAAGGAACTCCTCATAGTGTAGTAAGGCTTCATTAACATAAAAATGTATAAAAAAATGCTACTCACACAGATACAAGGTTCACAGAACCTATTGCAAGCATTTAGGGGAAAACAGGGTGAACACAGATGGCGGCTCCTGCACACACCAGAAAAGACGTCACAAGGATTCGTCCTACACGTTACACCACGAGTCACGTGGCTTCTTCAGGGATTTTTGTTTTTTATTTACTATTGACCTTGTTTCACAGATTTATTCTATTACACATTGGGTTTGATGCTCAGGAGGGTGTTTACTTATTATTAGTGTATTTTCTTGGGTCACTAGGGGGCAGCGCAGCACTATTCTTGGGGAGTTTTATTGATGTTTGCTTGCAGTAGCTTATCATTTATTTGTGGCAGCGCATGAGAATTATGCAGTGAATCCAGGAAGTTGTGGAAAGAGATGGCCTGCAGATATAAAAAGGAGATTTTTCAAGTAGGATTATATTGGATTGTCAAATATAGCTATTGTTTTGATTGGTATTTAGACATGTGCCATTTATTTCGCTAGGAATTGAAATTTCGAATCTAAATCTTCGTTAGTTGGAGATTCAGAGGTATCTGAATTCTGAATCACAATAGTAATGAATTTAAATTAATCTGAAATAAAATTACAATGAAATGGATTCGAATTTGAAAATTAATTTGAACTCAAAATTCAAATTTGAAATGGAAACATATTGCAATAAATACAGTAAGGTCTAAAAGTGAAATAAGATGATGATTCCTGTTTAGGCTGCTGGATAGAATAAAACAGAACAGAACGGAAAAAAAAAAACTGAATAAAATAGAATAAAAAGAATAGAATATAGTAGAAAAGGAAAGGAATTGAAAATAATAGAATAAAACAAGAATAGAATAAAACAGAATAGATAAGAAAATAAAAGAACAGAATAGAATTCAAACAAGTAGAACAGAATAGATATAGAAAAAAATAGAATAGAAAGAATATAGTCATCTTCTAAAATTCGAATTTCAAATTTTGAATCAATTCAAAAATAATGAAAATGCGAAAAAAAAAAACATACAATTGAATTCCCAAAACCATTTCAGAGATTTTGAAGATATTGGTCCCCTTAGACTACCTGCAAAGTTGCACATCTGTACAATGTATAGAACTTGCTGCGGAAGGACTGACATTTAAAAAAACAAACAAACTACATTTTCATTAAAAAAAAAAAAAAAAACTTTTAAGGGGAACCCCACCTCCCAAGAATGGGGGAAAAAAAAAACTGTGGATTCCCCCTAAAACCCTACCAGACCCTTGATCTCAGCACAGGAAAAGGAGGGGGGGAACGAATTAGCATCCCCCCCCCTTCCCCCACTGTTGCTTACCAGGCACATGCCATTGGCATGGAAGTTATCCATTAGGACGCTTTTGTTTTTGTTTTGTTTTTTTTTCGTTTTAATGGTGCTACAGGCTATGTAAATGGTTCTTGCTCTTTTCACCTTCAACTATTTTTGTGCCAAAAATTACCCTTCATTAGCCACATTATTTTACATTTTTTACTGAAGAAACTTCAAGTTTAAATAGGTACATAAAAACAGGCAGTAAAAAGTAAAACAAAAAATGTAAAGTGATAGTGCATGCATAATGATTAAATACACACAAATGGAAGACAGAAATACAAAGAACACCAAATAAACTAGACAAAATCCGCAAGAGAAAAAACTCTAAATATATCATGTCACATGACACCACCAGGTCCCCTTTTTTCACTTTTTCTCCAGGCCGTGCAGTCCTTAATCATGCAGAGAATGGAGTTGACATGTTGAAGCCAGCGTCATTTTCTGCACCAGTACATCGTGAATGAAGGTTGATTTGCTGGACCTGACATCTTACCCACATGATGGGGTTAATTTACTAAAGCCTCACAGTCCAAAATCAGGTTCACTTCTGCATAGAAACCAATCAGCTTCTAAGCTCAGCTTGTTCAATTAAGCTTTGGCAATACAACTTGGAAGCTGATTGGCTTCGAAGTGCAGAAGTGAACTTGATTTTGCACTTTCCAGCTTTAGTAAATAAACCCCACTATATGTTCAATCTTCTTAGTTGAGTGGCCCTGAGTGTCATGTAACTGAAAAGACTGAGGACACTTTGTTGTAAAGGACAACTCTGGATTAAAGGTGATTATTGTAGCATGAGCTGCTTCCTTTATCACTGGCTTGGGTACGTTTTAAAAAATGAAATTTGCACAGGATTCACTTTAAGCAGGATATCAACCAAATTATCATTAGAAGAAGCAATACTAAACCCATATTTGAAACAAAAATGAAAATACGGTACACCAGCCAAGAATGAATGTGAAAAGCACATTAAACATCATGGATAAATGTTACAATAAAAACTCAAAATCTAAACTTGTTGAAGTTAAAGTGTTACTAAACCCCGGACCCTGCATTCACTATATCTGGTCTCCCAGGATCCTGCATTCACTATATCTGGTCTCCCAGGATCCTGCATTCACTATATCTGGTCTCCCCGGACCCTGCATTCACTATATCTGGTCTCCCCGGACCCTGCATTCACTATATCTGGTCTCCCCGGACCCCGCATTCACTATATCCGGTCTCCCCGGACCCTGCATTCACTATATCTGGTCTCCCAGGATCCTGCATTCACTATATCTGGTCTCCCAGGACCCTGCATTCACTACATCTGGTCTCCCAGGACCCTGCATTCACTATATCTGGTCTCCACGGACCCTGCATTCACTATATCTGGTCTCCACGGACCCTGCATTCACTATATCTGGTCTCCCAGTACCCTGCATTCACTATATCTGGTCTCCCCGGACCCTGCATTCACTATACCTGGTCTCCCAGGACCCTGCATTCACGATATCTGGTCTCCCCGGACCCTGCATTCCCTATATCCGGTCTCCCCGGACCCTGCATTCATTATATCCGGTCTCCCCAAACCCTGCATTCACTATATCTGGTCTCCCCGGACCCTGCATTCACTATATCTGGTCTCCCCGAACCCTGCATTCACTATATCTGGTCTCCCCAGACCCTGCATTCACTATATCTGGTCTCCCCGGACCCTGCATTCACTATATCTGGTCTCCCCGGACCCTGCATTCACTATATCTGGTCTCCCCAGACCCTGCATTCACTATATCTGGTCTTCCCGGACCCTGCATTCACTATATCTGGTCTCCCTGGACCCTGCATTCACTATATCTGGTCCCCGGACCCTGCATTCACTACATCCGCTCTCCCAGGACCATGCATTCACTATATCTGGTCTCCCCGGACCCTGCATTCACTATATCTGGTCTCCCCAGACCCTGCATTCACTATATCTGGTCTCCACGGACCCTGCATTCACTATATCTGGTCTCCCAAGACCCTGCATTCACTATATCTGGTCTCCCAAGACCCTGCATTCACTATATCTGGTCTCCCCAGACCCTGCATTCACTATATCTGGTCTCCCAGGACCCTGCATTCACTATATCTGGTCTCCCAAGACCCTACATTCACTATATCTGGTCTCCCACACTACACAGAACATGGAAATTCAATTATTTTAGTAAATATAAACTGCTAAATACCTTTTCTTATCAGCAGTCTTGTGACTTCTGTCAGAGTCCAGCAGAGCACTGGTTAAAGCTTGTAGGAGGAGTTTTCATTCTCTTGTCACTGCCCTATGAGATTGCATAACCTCCAACCTTCTGTCTGGACAACGCTGATTGGCCTTGTACTGATCACATGCACCCTCCCAAGAAAAAGAAAAAACTCTCTAGCAATACACACACAACCTGGAACCAGTTTGCTGTGCAGGACAGACTGGGGAGCAACCAAACTATACTGCGGTGTCTAAGCACATTGAGCCTTGGAGTGTATATAAAGATGTCTGCAGCAAATATTCCCCACTGAACCAGTTTCAGTGGGTGCAGTGCTGTTTGCAGAGTCATAGGCACAGGAACGGGGGGGCCAACACATCAAACTGCTCCTACAGGGTTCCCTACGGTATCACGCTATGTGGTCTCCTTTATTGACCCCTATTCATGAGGGACATTCGCAGAGGCCGCACTAAGGGTGAGCCCCTATGGTGATATGCATCAAGGACTCCCGAGTACTGCATGCAGATGTGACTGGGAAGTATCTTGACCTGACCTGATCTGGGAGGCGGATGACCTAAACTATACCTATTGAGATAGGTTATATCTCAAATGCGTGTTTATACGCACTTCTGGTGAGTGCGCATTTCACTTACATTGAACACCTGCCATTGGGATTAACCCTCCACGCACGCTGATTGGGATCATACAGGATCCTCACGTGGGCAATACATCTGGGACTTTTTTGCACTTTACTCGCCTATTGGTGACACCATTTATGCACATTTATTTATTTGTTTATTTTCTTGCTTGATTTGGTATTGCTGATTATCTATACCTATATACTGAATATATGCTATTGGTTTTCTCATGCTGTACATTTTATAAAAACAACTGCATCTTCTCATTTCCTTTAAATAAGGATGAGATTTATGCTGCATATTTAGTGTTTAGCGCTGCACCTTTATATTTGAGATTTACATTGGAAGGTTCTGTTTGGTTGCCTTTTTAGGTGTTTCAGCGGCTATTTTTTCTTTTGGATAGCGCTCGCATATCTACTTTTTACATAAACTGCTAAATACCTTTTATTATCAGCAGTCTTGTGACTTCTGTCAGAGTCCAGCAGAGCACTGGTTAAAGCTTGTAGGAGGAGTTTTCATTCTCTTCATACTGCCCTATGAGATTGCATAACCTCCAACCTTCTGTCTGGACAACGCTGATTGGCCTTGTACTGATCACATGCACCCTCCCAAGAAAAAGAAAAAAAACTCTCTAGCAATACACACCAAACTGAGCATGTGCAGAGTGCAAGGCTGTGTTCTATCAAGAGATGAAATGGGGAACATAGAAGAACGGGAGGATAAGAGAAGTCAGGATCAAACATCCTTTTTACACAATGCAGATAATTAACCCCTTAAGTTCCACAGTGAGTATAACAAGCATACTTTACTGCATATACAGACTGATTGTACTGTAGTGGGTTTAGTAACACTTTAAGCTATGTGATCCCTTTGAGCACATTGAAGACATAGAAGGTTCTGCTGTCTAACTTCAACTAAACCTGATGACACTTCGCACCATGGATAGTCATACCATAGGGATTAAGAAGAAGTGGCCCAGAATGTTGAGGTACCCAAGGGACTCTGACTCCGGGTCCTGGCCGACTTGGCAATGAGAGATGCAACTTTCTAAGTGTGAACTGCTTCAGCTCTCTAGAACAAAGAATTCCCTCTAGCATGGCCTTATTTCATATTCAACTGCACAATTACCAAACTTACATTTAATTATCTTGGGCCAAATAGGAATCGTTCCTTTCTCATGAATAATGGATGCCTTTAACCCCTTCCTCCTATAGAAGTGATGACTGTCAAATGCCTAGCATAGGGAGCAGTGCTTTCCCTGAGCAGCAATGGGTTAAACACTGCAAGTGAAATTTAACAGGCTCTGAATAATTGAAGAGCTGTGATTCCCATTCACAGGGAACTGATGGAGAGTCCTGATAAAAACTAAACAAGGCTAAGTCACTGGAAGGATGCTTTTACACAATTCTTTTGACTTAAATTAGCATATAGGATATTTATTCTTGTCAAGCAGCAATTATTGGCTATTAATAATGCAGCTTAATTACTTTTTTTATTTCTTTATTTTGCTGTTGGGATAGGAGAAGATATTTCAGTGGTCTCTTGTTGAGCAAATGCATTTCCATCATCTTGCTGTTATGTTCTTAGCTGAAAACTTTGTTTATAGACCACGATATATACCCAAAGCACCTAGGAAATCATTCATTTTTTCACGAGGTTTAACCCTAGGTTCACACCTAAGTGTTTTCTGCAGCGTTTTGTGTTTTGCAGAAACGCACTACAGTCCATTTAACATGATTTCCTATGGGACACGTTCACATCTCTGCATTTTCACCTGGTGCATTTTTTTGGAAAGGGTCAGGGACTTTTTTGAATGCAAAAAGTTGCTCTTTTAGTTCTATAGACTTCAAAGGAAACACTGCAGAAATGCATGTAATGAGTTTTTGCTGCATTTTTTATGCATTTTGATGCATTTTAAATATGCCTAACAATATTAACAAGGAAAAAAAAATGCACGTGCCAGTGCCCATCAGTGCCACAATGCCACATATCAGTGCATACCAGTGCACATCAATGCCACAAATCAGTGCCCATCTGAGTTGCCCTTCAGTGTCAGCCATCAGTGCCAGTCAGTGCCACCTATCAATGCCAAACAGTGCCACCTATCAGTGCTGCCAATCAGTGCCACCTATCAGTGCCAGTCAGTGCCACTTGTCAGTGCCACCTATCAGTGCCAGTCAGTGCCGCCTATCAGTGCCAGTCAGTGCCGCCTATCAGTGCCAGTCAGTGCCACCTAACAGTGCCAGTCAGTGCCGCCTAACAGTGCCAGTCAGTGTTGCCTATCAGTGCCATATATCAGTGCTTTATATCAGTGCTGCCTTTCAGTGCCCATCAGTGATGCCTGTCAATGCCCATCAGTGCCACCTACCAGTGCCTCCTCATCAGTGCCCATCAGTGCCACCTGTCAGTGTCCATCAGTGCATCTTATCAGTGCCCATCACTACAGCCTCATTAGGGTACATCAGTTAAGGAGAAAAATCACTTATTTACAAAATTTTATAACAAAAACTAAGAACTTTTTTTTTCAACATTTTCAGTGGTTTTTGTTTAAGAAAAAATTAACTACCACCGAAATAAAGCTCTATCTGTCACAAAAAAAATATAATTGGCTATTACAGTGATCAGTCACTGTGCAGCCCACTCATGTGTTTTATTTCTCCTCTGAATGGAGAGAAAGGTACCTGTATCATTAGCTCCTTGCAGGGAAGAAAAATGTAAACAAACAAAAAGTGTATACCAAAAAATAACCACTTGCCCTCCTGAGGATATATCCCCCTTCCTGACCAGGCCATTTTTTGTGTTACGGCGCTGCATTACTTTAGTTGACAATTGCGCGGTCATGCAATGCTGCACCCAAATAAAATTTACGTCCTTTTTCCCATGAATTGAGCTTTCTTTCAGTGGTATTTTATTGCCTATGCATTTTTTATCTTTTGCATCCGACGCTTTGAATTGCACTTGGTGATGTAAGGTTTGGATGCAGCTGCTCGGCCATGAAAACCCATTCCATGAAGCTCTCTATGCACTGTTGTTGGGCTCATCTGAAGGCTACATGAAGTTTGGAGGTCTATAGCTATTGACTCTGCAGCCAGCGACTTCTGTCCACTGTGCGCTTCAGTATGCGCTGACCCCGCTCTGTCATTTTACGTGGCCTACCACTTCGAGTTGCTGCTATTCCCAGTTGCTTCCACTTTGTGTATACTACTAGCAGTTGACTGTGGAATATTTAGTCTCAAGGAAATTTCACGGATGGACTTATTGCACAGGTGGCAACTTATCACAGTATCACACTTGAATTCACTGAGCTCCTGAGAGCGACCCATTCTTTCACAAATGTTTGTAGAAGCAGTCTGCATGCCTAGGTGTATGGTTTTTTACACTTGTGGTCATGGAGGTGATTGGAACAGCTGAATCCAATCATTTGGAGGGGTGCCCCAATACTTTAGGCAATATAGTGTATGTCAAATAGATTCATCCATCTATGATAAAAAGCATGGATGGAGTGATCTCCGTTAGCAGCTACTGCATTCAAGCAGCTGCAGCACCTATGGCTGGTTTAATACCCAATCAGTGACTGTATCTGTCAACCAATTTTCCACCCGACTCCTTTGATTTTTCACTCAAATTTTGTTGAACAGAGTGGAGCAAATAGGGCCACCCATGGCTCTAATTTTGGCTCATTTTGAAGGAACTGGCCAAAATCTGAGCTGTGTATAGCTAGTTTAAAGACCAGGGATCGATCACAAATTTGGAAGATAAGGTGGCGTTAGGCAGCTATCCAGCTTCTCCTATCAGCTGAGGGTTAACAAGTCTTCTCACACTCCTAGCTGCTCCAATCAGCTGCAGAGTAACAATTCTGGTAATATCCCCCTGGCTGGAGTGGTCCTCAGTGTAGGAGGTGCCCTATTTAAACATCATCATCCTGTGTCTCTGTCCTTGTGATATCATTTGGTTACTTGTTACCTGTTTGTTTCAAAGCTTAACCACTGCTATCATCTTGGATTCCATTGTTGCCTTCTACCCAGATTATTCTTCAGACTGCCATCTGAGCTTGAACTCAGATTATTAACTGGACTACATTTGCTTACTAACAGCCTTGACCTCAGAACTGTTTTCAGATAACAATTGTCCACTACCTGTCTTTGCATTGGACTGCCCCAGGATTCTGCTACCAGTCACTGTCTACCGCTTGCCCAGCTTCAGGACCAAAGGTACCCTTACTTGCCTTAGATATTCAGTCCCGGTGTTGTTTGACCAGGAACTATAGCATTGTGTTCTAAGACCTGGAGGCAACCAAGTACCAGTATGCCTGCTTGGGAATGGGGACTGCTATAG